TAATTCACGTCCATGAGGTTTCTTTCTTTGAGTGACTACATATTCTTCACCGATATACTCCTTGTCACCAATAATTTGTACAGATTCTTCAACGTGTTCCAATAGGCCTGATTCTCGAAGAACTGTAATACCATGTATACTTCCATGGTAACATTCAGATACATGTACTATTCGATGACAAAAATCACAAGCTACTTGCACTTTTATTGCATAATTTGTTGGATTTTTTGCATGATAATATTCTTTACGTTGTTCTGAATCATGCGGTTCATGAATTGCAATAAAAGTCGAGTCAACAATTACGCTGTGATGTTGTTAAGGTCCATGTGGTGTTCTTCAGTTAGCTAGGTCAGCAGGTAAAGAAACGAATGCTGAATATACACACGAATGTAAAATATTCACTACTGCTGATAAGGAATAATTCACCGCTTGTTGACTAAAATTCAATTCTGAAGCAATGTAGTGTTCAGAATGATAATGTTTTTAAATACCATAATGTAACCACAAGCAAATTCATAGGAGATAAATAGGATGTGGTGGCACTGTTTGCATGTAACTTGTTTCTATGGGAACAATAATTTATTAATGGTTCTTCACACATAGAATATAATTCTTGTACTTGTCAACGTCATGCCCAGTATGCTATATGCAAGATGCATCAGTACGTTTCCATTCTGATCATGGACGTTGATCTGGAATATATAAAAAACTTGCTCATGATGATTCATTTTGACTACTAGTGTAGAAGCAGATAACGAGCTAAAAGATGCATGCATAAATCGCAAAAACTTGATGTTACTTACTATCATCTAAAATTTGAAAACGTTGCTGAATAACGACTTTCTTCTCTTCCATTTTTTTTGTCTTTCTTCTTCAAGTTCTGGTGTACAACAATTACAGTTGTCACGATGACGACAATAATTGGTGTACAAATCAGATTTTCCCGAATCAGTACATGTCCAAGTTAGCATCGAATCGCAATCAGTGCAATATTTTCGACGATCAGTTGGACCAGACTCATATTGAGCACAATGCTACTAAATCTGTGGATAAAACATAATTCAAGTGTGCTATGTATTTTTTATCGATAGAAAGTGTGTTAGAGAAAGCAAAGAACAAAGGAAAGTGAAAATAAAATCACAGCTAGAACAAGAACGACTTAATTTGAATATATCGCTAGAACAGAATGGATAAAATATATACCGATCACAAGATGTAAACAAATACGACGTGAAGCACGTTTAACACAATAACTACAAAAATGTACTTAATAATTCTCATTTATAGTGATATATAGATTTCAAATAGTGATAGATGGATAGCATTATATATGTAGTATAACTGGTAAAAAATTCAGATCTTTCTAATGTGTGGATGAAGTCGCATCGATAAATCAATTTTTGGGTATCAGTCAAGTTGGTCACCCCCAAATGATGTTGATAATGAAAAAAAAATTGAAATTCGAACATTTATATCCACCAGCACAAAAAATAATCAGAACCATCACATGATGTAAAAAATTGGTCGAATTTGTGAAGAGGGTAAGAAGATGCGATATATATTCTTTCTTCATTAACAGATAGAAAGAAATTTTATTCTTTATTTAGAGTAGATATAACAAAGATATTCAATCTCTTGGTGGAGTTGCCTTACAACAATCAACTGTTGTTCATTGATTGTCACTAATCAATTTACTTGAATGTATTATTCTTTCTTATAAGGCTACAAAACGTGTTTTAATTAATCGTAAATAACAAATGAAATTAAAAGGCCATTGATGAAGAAATTTTGAAATAAATAATACGTTTATTACAACCTTTTAAGTACGTGTTAAAAATAATACAATAAACAAATACTCCATCATCATGTATGGTGTTAATTTGAACACTAATGCTAAGAAAAACCTTATCATCTTTTGATGATTTGATAACTTATCGAAGGTAAAGAATTTTTTTATTTTTCAAAGTAATTCTTTATATTGATTTTCTTCTTTATTCATTTCAGCAATCAAAATTCTTCATGTTAGAATATTGAAGTTACTTATTGCTATGCATGAATCAGACATTTGGCATAATACGGCAACATTGTTACATCGTCGATATCGTCAATTCAAAAGGATGCACAAAAGATGAATGTGAACAAGCATATAAATATATTCGTAAACGTATGAATGAAATTAGTAAAGTTAACCCAAAAGAAGATTGTCAACCATCGAAAAAACAAAAAAAATCTAACAAACAATTCTTCAACAATATGAAGATGATAATGATCCGAAAGCATTAATTGATGAATGTGATAGCTCTGGAAGTGATGATTATGTATTTCATATGCTAAAAGTCGACAAATTAAGTCGATATTTATCTATGGATATTAATAAAGCAACTTTAACTGACAATCCATTACAGTTTTGGCTTAAAAGTTAAACTGTTTTTCCAGTACTGTCCAAATTAGTCCGTTAAATTCATTGCATACTGGCTTCCTTGCTGGCTGTCGAGTGACAGTTTACTGAAGCCAGTACCATAATCAATGAACGTCGAACAACATTAGATCTTAATCAGGTTAATAACATTCTATTCCTTTGTTCCATGGAAAATATGTAACTTGCTTAATGATTTGTAATTGAAACTTTTTTATAGTTTTATTTATGTTGATTTCTTTCCAATTGTTTTGTATGTAATGAGATATTTTTATTTTTTATTTATTCCTTTCTTTTTCTCTATTTTGTAAAATGTTATATTCATAAAGAGAATAATGTTTTTTTTTCATTGTAAACTAAGAAAAAAAGCCTATGAATTTGATTGTAATAAAATTATGAAATACAAGATGAAATAATATAATATTTTATAGTATCAGTCGGTCGATAAGTGTTGAATAAGTTTAAATTCTTAAAAGATATTTGACGACTGAGATGTCTCATCCCATAGAACAGAAAGTTTTTTTAACTTGTTCCATCTCATCCCATGTGGACTCCTGATTTACAATAAAGATGAAGTGTTCCATCTATTTTAGCTGAGTATTATTCATTATAGTTCCATTCTATATGGCACATGTTCATGATAGCCGGGTGTGGAACTATTGTGAACAAAGTAATGGTACTTCTAGCAGAATAGATAATGATGAGTTTCTGGGAGATCTATTTCAAAAAATTTTATATAGGTGTATACAGAATACTTTAGGCTACATGTCAGTATTTTTTTTTGTCCTCAAAACTGACAAAAAATAAAAAAGTTATGAGACTTCAAATTTTAACTTTTGAAAATTCGTTAGGACTAGCCCCTATCTACTCTATATATGCATCGACAGGAAAGAAAAGAAAAAGAACCAAATATTATCCTCTTACCTATGGACGAAATTTCAGGTAGAGAATCCCAAATTTGATTTTTTTGGTAAACACCTACGAATGACTTGAAAATCAGTAAAACGGTCATAACTTTCGAAAGAAGCAACAAGATCACAAATCCTCTTAGGTCGTTTCTTACTAGAATAGGCCCTACAATTGGACAAAGTACGAAAGCAAACGGAGCGAATCATTTGGGAATGTTCCCTCGTAAGCAGGAAGAATTTCATACCAAACGATAGAACATGTTGTACTCTATCCTATGCCATCAGAATCGCGTGAAAATCGCTTAGACTGACAATTTTTGCCGGATTTTTATAGAAAAACGCGACTAATGTACAATATTTTTTAAAATTAACGATTTCATGATTCTATTCAACGTTTCGTAAAGAGTTCCAAGGATCCCATAAGAAGTTGGTCCGGAAGTCACGAAAGGGATTTCATAGAGTCTTATGGCATTTTCTCAGAAATCTAGTAGAAAAATTACGACTCTAGTGATCTTTCTTTCCTCTCCCCGTAAATACGAAAAAAAGATTTGTTTTCAAATCCTAGTTACCGATGAAATTGTAGTTGTTGTTAATCTAAACAAGAAAAACCGTTTAATTAATTTTTCTTAAATCTCACTTATTGATGAACTTGTTGCCGCAACTGATCTAAATAACTAAGAATACAATTTATTTTTTAAATAATACGTACGAGTCTGTTATTGTGATTAATCGAAATAAGAAAGAAAATAATCTATTGCTTTGAAAACTGAAATGAATACGATTATATAGTATTTAAAAAAGTTCATAAAACAAAAAATTAGTTGTAAAGAATTCTATCATAAAATTATACGTCGATAATTATCATATATCCTAAACAGATTAAATACTGCACTGATAAAAATACGTATAAGTCTGTTAGCAACAGTTTATGTTTATTTAATACAGACAAAAGCTTATAGAAAAAAAGCATTTTTGTAGATTGAATAAAATTGGGGTCAACTAAAACTTCCATAGTCCGTTTACATAATTAAAGTATTTATTTTAATCGATAGAAAGTAGTTTGGATAAAAAGATATTATAATCGACTTTATTACACATAGAATGATACTGAATTACTGTTACGTAATTATTGTCGATGCAGGTGGAATGATGGAAAGTTCAATTTCTAAATGATACCCCAAATCTTTCAATAGTTTTGAGTTATACGCTTCATGAAATTAATACATCGCTTATGTCATGCAGAACTATGCAGTTATCGAAACATAACTTTATTTTTATTAATCGATACACTGGAAACATAAATTGAAAACAATCAATTGTAACAAATGTCTAGCATATTAACTAACTGCTTGAATTTCACGTATATCACTCATGATTCAGAGAAGGAAAAGAATAAATTGTTCATTTGAATGGCTGTCTTTTTTTTTCTTTTCATTCTCTTTTTCCTTTCTATGGACGTCAGAAGAAAATGCGAGCTTTAAAAAAAATGCGTCGCTTCACATTGCTGTATTTTTTTCTTCAACAAGTATATGAATAGATGGTAGTTTTATCCGACTGACCTTGTATTCTTTCATTTTGTTCTTTAACCAATGAGAAATAAAAAACAGCAATGAAAGAACATTGTCGTAGTGGGCGTTGATTGAATGATATTTCAACGTTATAGTTAAATTAATAAAATGCGCCGAAGACAAACGACAAGAAGGACATCAACAACTAATGATAACGAGTATGTATTACTTTTTTTTGAATATATTTTCATTCACGAGTATTATTCAAGAGATATAGTCAATCCAATTGATGAAATATGGAAGAAAATTGAGTCAATAGAACAAGAAGTCAATCAACGATTTGAAGAAATTGATCATGGTCTCAACTGTTTGAAAGAAAAAACTCGTGGAAATGAATGTCATTATGATGAACGTTTCTTAAAACTTTGTCACGCTGTAGACTATCTTCTTGAACGTATTGATCACGATTATGATACATTAGCGTGTCGTGAGATGATCTTGTCTTTACTCGGTCAAAGGTCAGCACGTCCGTTCTCTGGACGTACGATTCGTAATCGACAATTATGTCGACATATGAAAAGATGGTGTTTATTTGTTGCTCTTGTTCTTTTTATTGTGGCATGCATGTCAATTTATGGATTACATCGTAATTGGTGTTATCTTTTAGTAATTTTATGTCTATCGGGATCAATACTTTCTTCGATTGGTCTACGTCGAATTTACAAAATTATCGAAGCGATCTGGTGAAACTCTGGTTAATTTTGTATCATTCTCAATATTCATTCAGTTTTAATGTATAGATCTGAATTTTTTTTTAAATTTTTTTGTGATAGTATATTTGACTAAATCAATGTTTATATTAAATTTACTATAATCATGTTCTTGTATGGTTCTATATAGAAGAGAAATTGAAAATAAAAAAAATAGTCTCATTAGACATCTTTCTATCAAGTTATAGAAACTTTATGAGCATCTCTTTGACGAAATCACAGTCATATGAAAATATTCTCTACAGATAAGATTAATTAACATTAATCAACATAGTATCTTGTCGTTCTTTCTCATGTTTGAGTTACATTACTTCGTACTATGGTCTTCAGATGAGTAAAGTTTTTTCTGATGAAGTTGTCAAGATTCTATATAACATATTTTGTTTTCAGTATCACATAAATGATTGCATCAGATGTATTCAATTTTGTTATAGTGTATTGAGTCTTCATTCTACTATGACCGAATTCGATCCATATTATTCAAATTTCAACATAAGCAACTGACTTAAATAAGTTTGACAAAAAAATAGAAAAAAAGAGTGTTATTTGATATTGAACCAAGATGTTAAGGTATGTTGTCTATATTATTTAATGGACACTCGTTTTATCAACGATTGTCTCCTTTTTTTTTATAAAGGATATTATCTGTTTCTTTCTCATTCTACGCGTAGAGGATAAGTGAAATAAACTTGTTTACTAACGATGTATTGAGAAAAACTGAATCGAAATTAAAAATTGTTGGTGACACTCGGCTCTTCTAATGTGTCAAAGACTTTACATCAAATCAAAAAAACAAAAAATAATTTTCATGAGAATTTATTTTTCGAAGTTACTTTCCACTTTCAAAAGCTTATAATTTTTATATAACATGTATCTTTGTTTAGAGCAAATTATGGAATATGATAATACATTTGAAACTGAACAACAAGATCATTTCTATAGTGATAATAATGAGGAAGATTTGTTTGGCAGATGAATTTAGCGAAAATATTTTTTAGGTCAAGCATCACCACGCTCAGAAAATACCAATGATCATAGAATTCAAGACAATGTACAATCAAATATACTAGCAGCTCTTATTCTTACATAATCTGCTGCTACAACAACATCAATGAATGGTATCGATTATACGTCGGAAAAGTTAGCACCATATTCGTCTTTCTCTATCCGGATTCGCGATATTACTTGAGTTATTTCTAAAACAACTTGAGTCAGATGCAGAATTTAAATCTGCGTCCAATGGTGCCAGTTTCGAGGGGGGTTATCGGGCAAAAATACCTCACTTCCCTGAAAATATTGGTTGGAAATTACCTGCAAAAACCAGTATTTTGAGGGAAGTGGGGTATTTTTGCCCGATAACCCCCCCCTCGAAACTGGCACCATTCGACACAGAATTAAATTCTGCACCTAACCCAAGTGGTTTTAGATATAACCCAAGTAATATAGCGAATCCGGACAAGGAATACCTTAGGAATTACCTGGAAAAACCAGTATTTTGAGATAAGTGGGGTATTTTTGCCCGATAACCCCCTCGAAATTGGCACCATTCGACGCAGAATTAAATTCTGCATCTAACCCAAGTTGTTTTAGAAATAACCCAAGTAATATAGCGAATCCGGATAGGGAATACCTGGGAAACTACCTGGAAGAACTGGTATTTTGAGGGAAAGGGGGAATTTTTGATCGATAACCCCCTTCGAAAATGGCAGCATTCGATTCAGAATTAAATTCTGCATTTAACCCAAGTGGTTTTAGAAATAACCCAAGTCATATAGCGAATCCGGACAGAAAAAGCCGAATATGGTGCTAACTTTTCCGACGTTATTCGAAATCAGCTTATTTTTTACTTTTTGAATAAGAGTTATTATTAATATTATTTTCGATCTAGCAGTAGTCTTTTCTAATAACTTGTAGTTGTTCTTCTCTATAAATATTCCCATCGTCTAACTGTAGGTTTGTTGACAACATTTGCTAATTGTTTAACAATTTCCATCGATGATATATTCCATTATTAGTCATTGGTAGTATCACTTTTCGAAGGTCTTTTAGTTTTATTTTAAAATTAAGTCTGAAAATCAGTTATAGAGTTGAGATTTATCCGTCATGGAACTGTTGAGTAGTTGAAATACATAATGTAATAACAAGGTGAAAAAAAAGATAAAATCGATATAGATTGATTGGTGGAAAGATCGGTGATTTATTATGTAATAGAGATTTCAATTTTCTAGTGAATCATCTTGATGAAGAGAATGTCGTCCTGATTAGCAGAATGGAATGTAGAGAACTATAATTAAATAAATAAGCCTTTTTAATAGGGATCAATGAAGTCGATTTAAACACGAACTGAAACTTGTCAAAGAATTGTAAAAGTTTTATAGAGTATTTATTCTCCTAGAATATTTTATAAAATATTAAAATTTTCATAAAAAGAATCTTTTTCGTTTTTTTTTTATCTGAGATATGTTAAATATGATTATAAGTGATCGAATATTTGTAAAAAAATGTGCTTGTTTTTATCGTTGATAATTATTGTGAAAGATTTAATTATAAATCGAATAAAATCTTTAATAAATAAATATCGAGTTAGATTTAACGAGTCAAAAGTGTTCTCAATTATGGTCTAATCTATATATTAGTCTCAATATAAAGTTAAAGTTAATTTATTTAATTAATTGAAAAAGAAAAAAGTTTTATTGATTCAATATCCATTTGTATTTAATATCTTTTATAATCTATAATAGATAATAAAAATATATTCTTTTATTCTTCAATAAATTTTTTTTTAAATAAAATATATTGATAAAACGAAGTTAAAAAATGTTGAATATAGATTTTAGTTCGTGCTCGAGCAATTCAAAATCAATGTTTTCTTGTGGCTGCTGCTCAAGTTGCTTCTCAGAATAGAAAACGTCAATCTTATGGATATTCTTTAGTTTGTTTATTTATTTATTATTTACTAAATAGGTTGTTGATCGATGGGGAAGAGTTCTTTTATATATGAATTTATATTCTCCATTAGTTCGGATAATTGATATTGATCTTCGATATATTGAACAAGTTAGAGAAAAAATGCCTTTTATTCAACATCGTCGACATGATTTATATACATTAATGTCACCAACAACTATTATTGGTTAGAAAGATTTTTTTTAGGAAAGAAAAAACATTTCTAAAAATGTTTAGTACCAATTGATGATAAAAATGAAGAAAAAATTGGTTGGGGTCAATAAAAAACCGGTTGTACTTGGACGTTAGTTTTATATCTTAATTGTTTATTTATTAATATTGTTTAAAATTCCATATAGATGTAGTTGTATCACCATTTCGTTGTGTTGAACGATTTTCTCAATTAAATCCTGAATAAATAAATGATTTATTTCAATCTACACAATTAATTGGAAGAAAAATCGAAGAATATTATCAAGCTAAATCATTAACTATTAGCTATACAAGATCGACAACATGCTGGACAAACTGTTAAAGTATTTGTTTTTTTTTATTTAAACAAAAATCGTTTCGTTTCTTTTTTTTAACATGTTCATGTTCATATTCTTCCACGAGGAGCAGATT